GGTAGGCACGGGAGCTCCTCTGCTTTTACTTTAAGACCACAAAAGCCTGCTCCTCTGCAGAATGCCACCTCCCCTTTCTTATGTTCTCTTACTGTGACCTTCATTTTCAGTGACCTTCATTTTCACCATTCCCATCCCATGCATACCCCCTGGAATTGTCCCAGTTTTACAAATCTCAGTGTTCAGAATCCCAGACTGGCAGCAGCTAATTGGTCAGCCTTCCACTTTATCTGCTACCTAATATGTCTACTCTCTGAACTTACAAGAGCTTCTCAGTCTCAACTGTCTGCCATCCCAAGCTCCCTTCATCCTCTCTCCCTGTAGCCACAGTTTGCAACTTTCCCTCTCTCTCTCTCTCTCTCTCTCTCTCTCTCTCTCTCTCTCTCTGGGGTGCGGCTTCCTGGACACCAGAACCCTCCCCCCGCTCCCTCCCTCCCCTTTTTTTTTTCTTTTTGTCTTTATGAGACAGGGTCTCCCTGTAGTCCCAGCTGGCCTGGAAGGGCACATTGCCCTGCTGCAGCTGGTGCCTCCACTCTGTTCCCTTTTCTCTGCTGTTTCATTTCTTAAACCTTCAAATAGTCTCACATCTTTACTATGAAAAATTCATAGATACTAGAAATATTAAGAGTCTTCAGAGTTGTTTAAAGCTATGATACTTTTAGATCTCAAAAGTTTATTTAGACAGAAAAGACATATCAGAGGACTGAGCCCAGGATACTTAACCACTTTGAGGCTGGTTGAGATGAGAACCCAGAGGAAAGTGAGAAGCAGCAGCTTCAAAGCTAGGAGGAAAACCAGGAGGATGGATGGATGCTGTGAGGATGGATGCCAGAGGTGACTCCAGGAGGAAGCAATACTCAGGAAAAATACAATGGAGGATCAAGTACAATAAGGACTGTTTTCATCATGGGATTACCAGCATGAGAGGTGTCTGTGATCTTTCTAAGCACATTTTGGTGAAATGAATGGAGTAGATTTAAGGGGGGAAAAAGTGGGGAAAGAGAAAATGGATAAAGAAAAAGGCACTGATGTGGTTTTCTGTGAAAGGATGGTGAGAGGTGAAGTGATAGGTGGGGGTAGAAATGAGATCAAGGGGAGACTTTTAAATTTGGGATGAGAGAAAAGACACGATTCTCTATTTCCTGCCTAACTGGAAATGTTCTCATCACTTTTTAATAGTAGGTTATTTCATTTGTTACATTTATTAGAAGCATTGTTTTTTAGATTTCAAGGGCAGAAGTTTACAGTGATGAAAATGGGCAGAGAACATCTTTTCCCCCTTTTTATTTAGCATAATAACTAAGCAAAGTAATGAGCTATGCTCACTATGACATTTGCACACATCTGCATATTGCATTGCTTGTTCATGGTCGCCTCTGTCCTTTTCTTTTTATTGCCCTCTGCTTTTTTTTTTTTTTTTTTTTTTTTTGGTTTTCAAGAAAATATGGTATTTGTCTCTCAGAGTCTGGCCGCCTATTTTACATAATATGATTATGTAATATGATTTTATGTAATGTGGATGAAAAGGCAACATGATAAAGAAGTAGAAACCAACCTCAACAGATGCAGATAGTTTTATCAGCTATGAAGGTCAAGCAGCCTTCCCTAAGGAATAGAGGTTGTATGTCAGGAATGGGGGAGATCTGGGATTTGTAGGTGGGCCCAGAAAAATCCCAGAAAGTGGGTTGTGCCTTTGAGTGGTTTCATACTCCTTCTTGGGATCTGGGAAAGAGAAATGGAGAGTTCTGATAGAGGAACCAGGAATCTTCTGCAAGTTGATTGGTTAGGACCCAGGTCTGCAAGGAGGCTGATAAGGAACCAGATTTCCTCTACTGGGGGTTGGTAAGGAACCTGATATCTAAGCTAGAGGCCAAGAGTTCTGACTCAGATGTATCTTTCTCCTGGGGTTGGGAAGCATGGTAAGTTAATGGTCAGTTTGTTCGGTCATTTGTCAGGTTGACTTTCCTTCAGTGATAATCACCAATTCCGTGTGTTTTCCTGCAAGTAGCATAATTTCATCTTCTTTGTGGCTGAATAAAACTTACCTGTGAATATGTACCACATTTCCTTTATCCATTTATCTGGTTATGGACAGCTAAGCTAGTTCTGTATCTTGGCAGTTGTGAATATTGCAATGTTAAACGTAGATATTCAAGTCTTGAAAGCATGAGTTGATGATGAAATTGTTCCTGAAAAAAGAAAATCAGCTATCAAGACTTAGAAGGACTCTGAGAAGTCTCATAGCCCCTTAATCCAGTTAAAAAGAAAATCAGTGTTCTCATAGCACTTGAAGACTAGTTTTCAAATCATTCTAGAAAAAAACATTTTTATTCTGGGCTGTAAATAACTTAAAACCAGCCCATCCCCATTGGGGTCTGTGGCTGCATTTTCTAGTTGAGGAAGAACGGGTGGTCTTTTCAATCTTAAGAACAGACTGCACCTCCCCTGGGAGATTCAGGAAGAATACCACCCTTTTCTCCTTAAATTCTTTAGACACACTTAAGCTTAGCTACTTACTCCTCACTTTCACCGAAGTGCTCATTCTTTCAGAAGCCATAAAAAGCAGTCACTGAAAATTATAGGCAAGGCTGTGATAAATAAAAGTTTTTAAATAATCATTTTCAAAATCCAAACCCAAACCACATTTTTACTCTTCCAATAGCCTCTAGAAAGTAATTCTAAATTTTAGATGCCTTGCGAGTCCACCTATTTTAATCTTACTTTTGGGGATTTCAGTATAACAAATGAACGCTTTATCTTGTTTTTACTTGTTAATATTAAAATGATTCAATTTCATGGGAAAAAAATAAGGACCTTTTATGGTTTTCTTCCTAATATTCAAACACACACACATGCACTCGCGTGCAACTTTTTGTGCTTATTTTAATTGGAAACTGAAAGGAGTTTTACTATTCATCTTTTAGAGCTCAGTTATCAGCAACAGTTTATACTGTTTTGGAATATGGTATTGTAAGGTGTTAGTTTGAGAGACAGGGCCTAAAACATACCAGCCTCTCCTCATTCACAGATCAGCACTTCATTCAGTTCCCAAATTAATTCTATAGTATGTTCATAAAGCAGAGACTGCTGCAAAAGTACCAGGTACTCCATGCTCCTGTGACTGCTGGGTAATGTCATAGACATGGGCCTATGCTAGCTTTTCTATTGCTCTAATAAAATATCAGGACCAAGAGCAACTTAAGGAAGAAAGGGTTTATTTTGGCTCAGAGTTCCAGAGGGATAGAGTCCATCATGGTGAGGAAGGCATGACATGGCCACAGGAGCAGGAAGCTTGCTGATCACGTTGTTATTCGCACACATGATGCAGAAAGAGAGAGAAGGAGGAGGTTGAGCCTATAAAATTCTCAAACTGGGCATGGTTGCGCACGCCTTTAGTCCCAACACTTGGGAGGCAGAGGCAGGGGGATCTCTGTGAGTTCGAGGCCAGCCTGGTCTACATAGCGAATTCCAGGCCAGCGGGGCTACAAAAAGACCAAAAAAAAAGACTCTCAAAACAAGCCCCCAATGGCGTATTTCCTCCAGCAATGCTGCACCTCCTAAAGGTTCCGTAACCTCCCCACATGACATTTTTTTCCTTTCTCTCTCTTTTTTCTTTATGTGTATGAGTGCTTTGCCCACATGTATGTAAGTGTACCACATACACACAGTGCACACAAGGATCAGAAGAGGACATCAGATCCCCTGGAACTGGAGTTATGGACAGTTATTAGTCACCATGTGGGTACTGGGAACTGAATGCAGGTCCTCTTGCTCTTAACCACTGGGCTATCTCCCTAGCCCTTGTGGCATAACTTTAAGAAAATCTTTATGAGGAGACAAGCATGATGGCACACACCTATAATCCTAGACTGAAGAAGCAGGAAGATCACGAGTTCTAGCCCTTGGCAACATAGTAAGACCCTCCCTCAAAAATTAAAAAAGATGGGGCTGGGGCTGGAGAGATGGCTCAGTGCTTAAGAACACTGGTTGCTCTTGCAGAAGACCCAGGTTCAAATCCCAGCACCCACATGGCAGCTAACAACTGTCCATAACTCCAGTCCCAGGGGTCCGACAGCCTCTTCTGACCTCCACGGGCATTGCATGATATGGGTGCACTTACTTATATGCAGGCAATACACACATACACATAAAATAAAAATAAATTTAAAAAAAAAAAGATGGGGCTAAAGAGATGGCTCAGAGGTTAAGAGCACTGGCTGCGCTTGCAGAGGACCCCAGCTTCCAATCCCAGCACCAATGTGACAGCTAACAGCCATTTGTAAATCCAGTTCCAAGGGATCCAATGCCCTCTTCTGACCCACGAGGGTATTGCATGTAGGTAGTATACTTATATACATGGAAACAGAACACTCATACACATAAAATTAAATAAATAAATGATAAAAATTTAAAAATAACTAAATAGGGGCTGGAGAGATGGCTCAGCGGTCAAGTGCACTGACTGCTCTTGCAAAGGACCCAGGTTCGATTCCCAGCACCCACATGGTGGCTACAAACCATCCTTAACTCCAGTTCTAGGGGAATCCGAAGCCCTCTTCTGACCTCCGTGGCATTGCATGACACAGGTGCACTCACATACATGCAGGCAATTCACTCATACAGATAATTTTTTAATTCAAAAATAAATAAATAATAATAATAAACATGAGTGATTGTTTTTTAAATCAGTGAAACCAAAAAGACAGGTTTTAATATATGAAGAAAGAAATCATGTGGCACAAATCAATGTATGATGCCCACAAGACATAAAGCCCACTGGAACAGGATGTATGAAAGTAAAAATATATCTTGCAAAAAACTGTAATATCTTTGTGTTCAGACCCAGAATTCTTTGGTTCATGATTTTATATTAGGGATATTGACTAAAGTTGCCAACTTTGACTTACAGATATTTAGTTGTTTTTGAGACAATTTTCTTAGTGCAATCTGAGTGTTACAAAGGATTAGAAGTACTAAACAATATTTCTTCTTTGCTATAGGTAAAACACTAGTCAAGAAGCTGGCAAAAAAGGTAAGCACATGGGGGCTTTTAGTTGGTTGTTTGGGGTAGCATGGGAAATGAACTCTAAATTGAAAGACTTGAATTTGTGTGTTCAAAGGATGTGGAGGATATACTGACAGGAATCCAAACTGCACGTTGTGGATCAACTTTTTTTAGAGACCTAGGTGACAAAGGTAATTTTCATTCACTGTTAAATTTTTATTTATGTGTTTTATTTAACTAAAGTAGTATTAGAGAATCAAGCTGTGATATTTATACCATGTTATTTAATAGGTGTTTCAAAGCATAATAAAGCCTTCATTAAACAAATTCTTTCATTCTTCATTCTCAAATTCTTTGAGCAATTAAAGAAAAAATATTAATGCATCAGTAATTAAATCCTGGAAAAGAAATAAGATAGAGTAGCCTGTAAGATGAGGCTTGAGTATAAAGTAGGAAGATGGCCCAGCCTCAAAGAGCCCCTGAGAGTACCACCATGCAAAGGAGTAGACAAAGATGAAGGCCCATGAGGAAACCAGGCAGCATGACCAGAGAAGCAGAGGAAACAATGCTTCAGAGACCGAGAGGAAAGCGTGCTAAAGAAGAGAGTTAGGCTGGGCATGAAGTACATACCTGTATTCCTAGCCCTTGGAAGGCCAAACCAAGAGGAGGCCAGCATGAACTATATAAGTGGCACTCTGTTTCTCCCCACCCCCCAAAAAAGAAGAGAGTTATCAGTATGTAAAAACCAAGCACATCATGAGATGGAATAAGCTAGAACTGAGAACTGTCCTTTAGACTTTTTCATACACTTTTATTTCTTTGTTTAACATACACAATACTGAGCTTCATTCTGACATGTTTGTGCATATGCATAAATGTACATTGATCATACTCACCTCGTGATTGTCCTCCCCCATCTCTTCCAGTCCCCTTCCTCTAGATTGTCCTTTGTCTGCTTTCATCTATATGCATGTATGTGTTTAAATCCAGGTTTCCCATAAGAGAAAGAACATGTAGTATTTTTCTTGCTTCACATGGCTTATTATACTTAACACAATAATCTCCACTTCATCCATTTTCCTGCAAACTATAATTTCATTCATTATAATTGAATAAAAATTCCCTTGTATATATGTACCACATTTCTTTAATCCATTAATCTGGGTCTTTTTTTTTTTTTTTTCCTTTTTCAGACAGGGTCTTTCTATAGCCCCAGGTGGCCTGGGACTCACTATGTAGACCACGGTGGTCTCCATCTCACAGAAATCTGGCAGCCTGAGTGCTAGAATTAAAGGCATATGCCACCATGCCCAGCTATCCATTTATCTGGTTATGGGCAGCTAAACTTGTTCTATATCTTGGCTGTTATTAATAGTGCAGCAGTAAACATGGATGTGCAGGTGTCTCTATGATATGCTTAGAGCCCTTTATATTTATACACATGCAGGGAAGAGCTAGGTCATATGGTAGTTCTATTTTTATCTTCTTTTTTTATTTACTTTTTTATTTATTTATTTTGTCTTTTTGAGACAGGTTTCCTTGTAGCCCCAGTTGTCCTGGAACTCACTATGTAGACCAGGCTGGCCTTGAATTCACAGAGCTCCTCCTGCCTCTGCCTCCCAAGTGCTGGTATTAAAGGCCTGCACCACCACACCCGGCCATCTTTTCTTCTTTTACATACAAGTATTTATTTACTGTGTGGGTGTGCACACACATGCCACAATGCTGGCGTGTAGAGGTCTGAGAACAACTTGCATGAGTTGTTTCTCTCCTTCTACCATTTGGATCCTGAGACTTGAATTCAGGTCTTCAGGCTTAATGGCAACTGCCTTTACCTGATGAGCTGGCCCCTTTCTTTCTCTCTCTTTCTTTCTTCCTTCCTTCCTTCCTCCCTTCCTTTCTTTGTTTTTGTTTTTTTTTTTTAACACTGTTTGGTGGAAGGGTGAAGTATGTATGTGTTCACAGTGTATACAGAGATGAGACGACAACTTACAGGAGTCAGTTGAAGAGGCTGCTTTTCTCCAAAGTATGATTTTGACACCATCATTGTAAAGGTCTTTTACGTCATTGGTTAGGTTTGTCCCTCAGTGATGATGGTTTGTTTTTTCTGAAACTATTGTAAATGTTGTTTCCCTAATTTCCTCTCAACATGTTCATTTCTGATGTATATAAAAGCTACTGATTTTTTAGATATTGACTTTGTCTTCCACTTTGCTGAATGTATTAATCAGATATGAGTTCTCTACTGGAGTCTCTAAGTACATGACCATGTCATCTACAAGCAAGTTTAATTTGACTAACACCTTTCCTGTTTGTATCACTTTTATTCTGTCTCTAACCTTATTGCTGTAGCTAAGATGTCAAGTCACTGAATAAGAGTATAGAGAATAGACGTCCTTGTCTCATTCCTGATTTTAGAGGGAATAGTTTCAGATTTTCCCTATTTAGTACAATGTTGGCTATAGGTTTGTCATATATAGCCTTTATGCTAAGGTATGAACCTTCTATTTATAGTGTCTTCAAGGGCTTTTATCAAGCAGAGATGTTTGGGAATGAAGAGATGGTTCAGCAGATAAGAGCACTGGCTGCTCTTATAGAGGACCCAGGTTTAGTTCCCAGCATCCACGTGGCAGCTAACAGCCATCCATAACTCCAGTGGATCCAAGGGATCCAGTGCCCTCTTCTGACCTCCATAGGCATTGCACAACATGGGTGCACTTACATACATGCAGGCAGTACACTCATATACTTAAAATAAAAAATTTTAAATAATAATAAATAAAATGAAGGAATGTTCAACTCTGTCAACTTTTCTGCATTGATTGTCATGATTATGTGATTTCAGTCCTTAGGTTTAATTACATCTTGTTGATTAGCGTATATTGAACCATTCTTTTTTTTTTTTTTTTCTGGTGTTTTGAGAACTGTAGCCTCAGCTGGCCTGGAACTCATTAGGTAGACTAGGCTGGCCTCCATCTCACAGAGATCCACCTACCTCTGCTTCCCAAGTGCTGAGATTAAAGACTTGCGCCTGGCCCGCTGTGATTTATTTTTTTAACATGGCACTTACAGCTATAACCTTCAGACTGCCTTTGCTGTGTCCCAGGTTCTGGTAAGCTGTGCTTTCATTTTCATTTGATTCGAGGAGTTTTTTAATTTACTCCCTGATTTCTCCAATGACTCATTGATTGATCATTTAAGTGTGCATTTTGTACAATACAGAGATACCTGTACTGTTTCTATAGTTTCTCTTGCTATTTATTTTTACTTTTATGTCACTATGATCTGAAGAGATGCAAGGAATTCTCTTCTTTCATATTTGTTAAGATGTTTTCTGACGTAAAATGTGATTAGAGAAATGCTCAGAGTGTTACATAGATTATTCTGTAAATATCTATTAAGAGCACTTGATCTGTGGTGCAGGTTAACTCTGAAGTTTCCTCATTGAACTTTAGTCTGAATGACTCTAAAGGTCAAAGTGGGTATTTAGTCATCCACTCTTACTATATTGGGTCTTATCTCTCTTTTTACATCTATTAATGCTTACTTTATGAAAGTGGCAGTTCCAGTGTTCAATGGGTATGTGTTTAAATTGTTACATCTTCTTTATAGATTGGTCCCTTTATTACTATATAGTGGCCTTCTCTATTTATCCCAAGGTTGAATGGAAGTCAGCTTTATCAGTTATCAGAAAGCTATTTCAGCTTATTTTCAGCTCCATTTTCCTGGTAGGTATCTTCCATCCTTTCTCTCTTGTCCTGTCTTGTCTCTTGTCAGTGAGATTTGTTTCATTGAGACAACAGATGGTTGGATCTTGTTTTGTGAGCCACTCAGCTAGTCTTGTTCTTTTCATTGGAAAGTCAAACGTAGTCTTAATTAGGGCTGGTACTGAGAGAAGTTTGCTAATTCCTTTAATTGTATTGATTTTCTGGTTGGTTGGATTGGTTTTTCTCTCTCCTTATTGATAGCAAGGATTTGCTGCGTTCGATCTGATGGGTTATTTCCCGGTTGTTCTCCATGCATTTGTTCCTCTCCTGTTCCTCTTTGTTCTCGTGATTGAGGCTGCCATTCTTCATCCTCTGTGCTTAGGATTTTTTTTTTAAGTATCTCCTAAAATGCTGTCTTAGGTAGTCACGAATTACTTTAAACTGGCTGTAGCAATCTTGGTTGACAGTTACTCACTTTCAGGCCTTGAAATACATTATTTAATGTTTTTCTGGCTTTTAGGGTTTCTGGTGAAAAATCTGATGTGATTCTGATGAATTTTCCCTTTTAAATGAGTTGGCATTTTTCTCTTCTAGCCTTAATGCTGTTTCTTTGTTTTTCTTTTGGCATCTTAACTATGATGTGTTGTGGAGAGTTTCTTCTCTGATTGTGTCTTCTTGGGCTTAAATGTTCATTTTTCTCTTGATCTGGGGAGTTTTCTGCTTTAACTTCATTGGATAGATATTCTGTGCCTTTAGCTTTTAATCTTCTCTCGACACTGAAGTTCATGGAGGCTAAGGTTGTGCTTGTGGAGGTGTTGGTTGGGTTTTATGTTGATGTCTTAATGCAGTGTTTGCTCAGTCTTGTCCATCCCTGATACTCTTTCTTCTTCTCAGTCTATTCTTGGTGATGTTTCCCACTGTGTTTTAATCCTATTCATTCTCATTTCCAGATGTCATTTCTTTCTCAGGATCATGGAGTCCTTGCTGAATTTTGTCCATGTTGCTGGTGTTCTTACCCATACTACTGACTCATCTGTGTTAAGACTTTTGTATTTATCTGCTTATTTGTATCCTTTTTGAAGTGTTTTATCATGTTTACAAAAACAAAGAATTCTTCACCTAGCATTTTATCCAATTCGGTATCTTGAATTCAGTAATGAAAAGTTACCGTCTTTTACGAGACATGTCGGTTTTTCATGTTTCTGTGTTGTAATTTGTGTATCTGTTGGTTTGAGAATTTCTTGTAGTTTTATTTGGGAGATCTTCATGAGCCATTAATAGTAATTCTTAGAATGGAGAAAACATTGTAACAGCAACAACACCAAACCAAACAAGACAGAGAAGTGTGGGCTGGAGTTGTAGTTCAGTGGTAGAGTGCTTACCTTATATGTATGAGGAGCTAGGTTCAATCCCCAGACCTGCCCCCTCCCCCAAAAAATACAGAAATACACTTAAAATCTCCTAAATGCTACTAGTATGCCATC